AGACCAATGTTCAGCGGTGATTACCAGGGAATGGAGTGGGGGGGAATCATTCTCTAGGTCATTTAGATACTTGTTATTTTTGGCGATTGGAAAAGTAACACTGAATGTGAGTATAACGAGAACATCTTGATGAAAGTAAATGATGCCACTAAGTGCACAAGTGAAAAGAATGTTTGTGCTAAAGAATATGGCATACATAACTGGGCAACAATAACCGAAAAAACAAATGTATGGTCACATATGCATGTGTTTAGGCATATATGTTTGTGGGTAGGTACAGGTATGTACATACATGTGCACAGATAGAATATCTATATGTATGTGTACATAAAGATACGTGTGCGCACACATATATATTCATAGAAGACACAGTTACAGATATTTCTTAGACATAATCAAATACCTTGCCAGATTGGTTTTTTGAGTTTGAAGGCTTAGGAACTTAGTCTCATAGGACAACTCAGTCAACTGGCATAATATAGTCCACAAAATTCATGTTCTTCATCCTAGTGAAGTGAGTAGCATCCAGGGTCTTAAAAAACTTGTGAGTAGCCACTTAAGATACAACTATTGGTCTCTACTCATCAGGAGCAAAAAAGAAAAAAGGAAACCAAAGTGCCAGAGAACAAACTAGTCTGCAGGGCTAATAGTTTACACGAACCACACCTTATCTACCCAAAGAGTAGAAGAACTCTATGGTGCCCAGCTACTACTGTTGACCATTCTGATAAGGGCCACAATAGATGGACCCTGATAGAATGGGAGAAAAATGTGGAACAGAACTCAAAATCTTAAGAAGTCCAGACTTACTGGACCAGTTGAGACTAGAGGACTCTCTGAGTCTATCACCCTGAGATACTCTTTAAACCTTGAACCAAAACTATCCCCCGAGGTCACCTGTTAGCGAAATTACAGATCAGCGCACAAAATAAAGGATATTACCTGTGTGTATGGTGCTCCTTTAAGAAACCATATATATGAGATCAAAAGGTCAACAATTACCCTAAAGCAAAGATGAGACGATAAGGGAGCAGGGAAACTAGAGTACTGGAAATGGAACAACCAGAACACAATTAAAGAGAATGTTGACGCATTGTGAAAAATGTAACTAATGTCACTCAACAATTTGTATAGAAATTGTCAAACAGGAACCTAATTTGCTGTGTAAACTGTCACTGAAAACACAATAAAATATTATTAAAGAATAAAAATAATTTTTTTTAAAAAAGTTAATGTAAATATACAGTAAAGAGAATACCACATACTAACTTATCAGTTCTTAAACTCTTTTTTTACCACCAGGGAATCAGAATTGATTTATAGGAGCAATATATGCATATTGCAGGATCTGCCTGTCTTCTGAGAGCACAAAAAGAAGTAATAGATTAAGACACATTATTTTTTGTATTAAAAAAAAAAAATCTGTAAACCCAGTGTAGGATTATAGTGTGACTTTATGATTAGTTTACTTTGTCATATATAGGTAGAATTGGAAACAGTGTGTGTAAATTTCTTTTGAAGAAGCTCAAGGGTATACTAAAATTTGAAGTAGATTTACTTGGCAAATTAGTAGTTTTGGTGTTTTGTTTTGTTCTCTGTCTCTCTCTATGTTCTTTTCTTTTTAAAAGGTAAGGTTAAACGTGTTCAGAAGCAGAAGAGGGGAGAAGGACTCATCCTTCAAAGGGGTAATATCTGAACATGTTAGAATCTGAGTGTGTAGTTGATGGAGAATTCCTGCTCTACTCCATCAGCACTGCAAAAATAAATTCTAATTTAGTTGTAACGTAAATAAATAATGGAGGCAACATGTGTAATTTAATGAAATTTTCAGAACAATTTGCTCAAAATGCCATAGTGCTTTTGTAGACACACCACTTATGCCTATAAGTGGTGGACCTCATTCAGTAGGAATAATAATAATAATCAGAGCTAAAATGTAATTAAGTGCTGTCTATGGGCCGGTAGTATTAGAAATGCTTAGCATGTCTTATCTCAGTTATTCTGTATAATTCTACACAACAACCCAGAGAGGTAGGTATTGCTATTTTCCCCATTTTATGCACAAGGAAGCAAGCAGAGAGGTGATATTTGCCCACAGTTACACAGCCAGTAATTGGAACAGGTAGATCTAGGCAAACGGATAATCTGCACTCTTAACGCTGGAGCTAAGGATGCTATTTGTATATACTAGACTGATTAGAGCTAGGAAACTCTTCATCCTCTTCCTTCCTCACCTCTTTCTGATTGTACCACCCTTGTAGGTTGTCAACTCCAAGCTCCCTGGATGCATCGCTGCTATAAATCTGCATCTTAGTCATCATAACAGTACTGTTTCCTTTCAAATATCAAAAGCAAATTCTGCTACCTGAAAAATCTTTATAAATGAATCCAGTGCAACTTTTAGTGAGTACACTGAGAGCAACAGACAGTTGGTTTCCCATCAGAAAACAAAAGATCTGCTGCAGCACCACACAGTTTCAAGTTAGATAATATTCCCCTGAATATGAAGATTTCTGCTTGTCAAGAAGAAATCTTCACTTCAAAGAAAGAGAATGAAAAGCTTTTTGAAAATAATTCAGCTGGAAACTAAGTGATGTGAAGCATATGCTTGCTAGGAGACAACCTGGTCACTCTGCTCTAGTTACAGCTGTAGATAAGGTGAAACCATAGTGTCGTTTCTCTGAATGGCTGAGTGGGAGGAATTTTCAAATATTTCAGCAGGTTGTGTTTGTATCTTTCAAACTTCTGCCATTTTACTTTTTTTCACCCCTAATTTAAAACAAAAAAAAAGGAAAAACACCCAAAAGTAACATTGAAAAACATAAATCTACAATGTTTAATTTCTACCTCTACCTGACCCTTGCTCAGATTGTTCTAGCACATTTTGATTTCTCTTGTATTTTTTGCACTTTATTTCACATTTACCAGCACCAGTAGCCATAGAGTGTTGATTCAGACTCATGGTGACCCATGTGTGTCAGAGTGTGGAGCTGTGCTCCATAGGGTTTTCAATAACCCTTTTTTTATTTGGAAGTAGATCACCAGGTCTTCCTTCTTAGGAGTCTCTGGATAAACTCAAACCTCCCACATTTGGGTTAACAACCAAGCATGTTAACCATTTGCACTACCCAGGAACTCCAGTTTTGCGTTTAGCTCTTGTTAGTTTGTATTGTTGTCTGTATGTCCTATTTCTCTGTAAGTCATTCACAGGCTCTAATTAAAGAAGAAGCATTACTCCTTATGCTCTGGGCTTTCATTTTTCTTAGCAACTATATTCCAACAATTACTTTATCCTGTTCATCTTCCACCACTATTTGTTCTCTTATTTATGTCTGTATTTTTCACCCATTAATGTACCAGTGAAGATATTTTGTTTCTATGTAAGCAACAACTAAAAAAATCATTATTATTATAAGAAGAATATCTACCAAAAAGTTATCAAATCATTTTCTGGTAATGGAAAATATGAGGTTAATCAGCTTTTAATGTCTATAAAATTGACTTTTTTTTTTCCCTCAGTCTATTAATAGGCACTTATTGGCCACCAAACTAATAACTTTTACAAATGATAATTTTTAAAACAATGCTACTCTCTACAAAAATATATTTACTTTCTTCAATTAGCGAAACAGTTTCTAGCATACGCTTTGTATGTACAGACCTCTCTAAGTAAAATAAAAAAGGAAAGCCCCAACTTATTCATTCTCCTGAAAATACAGGTAGGTTTTATTTAGAGGGATTATATTCACTTAACGTAATAATCCTTCACCAAAAAAAAAAAAAAAAAAAAAGTCTTTCAATTGTAGAATCTACGTTTGGCAGTAGAGAATAATTATGTATATATCACTTTCACGCTTCAAGACTTAGTGAGCCTTACCTTCATGCATTTCTTTGACCATTCTAATCATGCTTCCATGTCTATAAAGGTGAGAGAAGGGATGGCGTGGACATTCTCTAATGCTAGTTACTGAGTAACATTTTCTAAGTCCTAGTTAACTGAGATCTATTACTTGATTTCTCTTATTTTCTTTCATGTTGCTCTTCACCTTTTTAAAGCCTCCAAACTGCATTCTTTCCCCCATTCAGATGACAGTCACTCGGTTTATTTTGTTTTGTTGGGTTTTGTTTTCCCTCTTGTCTCCCACAGAGCTTCTCTGCTTTGTCCTTGACAGACTGGGCAGTGAGAGAGACTTACTCCTGATATAACAGTTAACTGTGTTATGTTCAAAACACCTTAAACGTATCTTTCACTGTGCTGTTGGCCCCAAAGAGCAAATAGAGAAAAGTATCCAAAGATGATCTGTCCCATTTGCTATTTTATTAGGTTCACATTAAGCTTCTAAATGATCTTATGATTTACCAGACTGCAAGTGACATGAATAACAATATAAAAATGAGATCACTGGGACTTTGTAAACACTTCTGTACTAAAATAATGTATATGTAAATAAAACAAAATAGCTGCTTATGTTAATAAATCTAATCATTGTAGATGGCATGCACACTTTAAACATATTAAAATATTTACTTATAATAGGTTTAAAGTCATGCTTTATATAGATTCAGCAGTGGCTGGTAGATGAAGATTGACTACTGGGAAATGTAATTGTTTATATTTTATATTCCAATAGACAATAGAGCCTGCATTACCTCATCTGAGTAGAGCAAAAATAATTGGGAAGGCAAAATGGACATGAAAAAGAAGTACAAAGAATAATATAAGCCTTTGACACATGTATGCATGTATAATTACTCATAAAAAGATCAATTATTTTATCTGATGTGAACTTTAGTTATCTTCTCATATAGACTTTGTTGGATATATTGGGAAACTGAAACCCAAAGAGGTTCATATTACTGCCCACAGTCATTGGTTAAAAAGTGGACAAACCTTGACCAGAATCCTGGCTTCCTGATTCTTATCTACTGATGTTTCCATGAACATAAACCATTTCAGTCTATTAATTTGCTTTCTTGTTACCTGTTTCTTTTTCCAATAGGGAGACCCACTTGCAGCTGTGCACTGGGGTTCACTGGACCAAACTGTGGTAAGACAGTCTGTGAGGATTTTTGTCAAAATGGAGGAAGCTGCGGTGTGACTGCTGGGAACCAGCCTTACTGCCTCTGCCAGACTGAATACACTGGAGACAGATGCCAGTACTGTAAGTGAAGGGAATACCGAAAGCCAGTTATATCTCAACTTCAGCCACCCCCTATTTTTCAGGTCCAATCTCTCTGTCACCCCAACTCTGATGATTATTCTTTTCCTCATTCTTTTCTTAACTTTCTCCCTTTCGCAGATTCCATGGCCATTGTTACAATCATTCTCTCATATACACCCTCAACTCTTCCACTCTATTTTCTATTATACTTTCCTGGAAAATCATAACCATAGCTAAATCCAATTCTCCATCTACCTTGAACTGGTACCCTTAAAGCTGAATGTGACAACAGAAAAACATATACTGTTTTCCCTCTTGTTGTTAAGAACCCCATGCTATGTTTAATGCTACATTATCTACTCATGTATTGAATCTCTCTTTACTCATGGACATATCTCCTGCAGTCAGCCCTTCTCTCTCCTGTCTCATCAATATTTTCCTCTCTACTCTGTCCTTTTTAGAAAAGTTTTCCCTGTGCCCATATCTCTTTGCAGCTACAACCTAATTTCCCTCTTCCATTATTTCTTTATTTGGACAGCATCATTGCTCTAAAAAGTTGTTGTAGCCTTAATTCCTCTCTTTCAATTTCTTTTTACCTAAACTCTATGCGGTTTTTATTCCCATGTTCTGCTGAAACATCTTTTATCAAAGTCAATTTAATTAACTTATTTTAATAACCTATATATTGTCATATCCAATGGTAAATTCTCAATTCTTATTTTATCACTCTTATAAGCAGTTTATAACTCCATCTTTCTTAAAACACTTACTTCACTTGTCTTCATGGACACCAAACACCATTCTCTCTTGTTTTTATTTTCATTTCACTGTCTACTTCTTCTTGGGGTCTCTTGCTAGTTCCTCCTTATCTCTCTGATCTTCAATACCGGAGGGACTGACAACTCTGTCCTCATATATCTTTTCTTCTCTAAAACAATACTCACTACATGAACCCATGATTTCTATACAAGGCTACACATCAGAGTCACCTCAATAGCTTTTATAAAATGCAGTTTCCCAGACATCACCTCCAAAGGTACTGATTCCATTAGGCTGCTATATTGTTTATAGCTTTCTAGATATTTTGTATACACAACCAAGGTAGAGACCCATTGCTAGATGGTTTAACCCAATTGCTTGGTTTGTCAAACTGTTAAAATACTAATGATTCTAAATGTATCTTTCCAACAGAACCTATTCCTTAAATGCAGGTTTTTTTTATACCTAATATCCTATGTGACATCTTGAGTTATCTTTAAATTAGCCTGATTTTCCCGCTCAAAAATACCTCTGCCATAATCTATCTGATCTCTGTAAAGGGAAACACTCATTGTTTGAGCCAGAAATCTTAGAGTCATTTTTTACCCCTGTCTTTCCCATTCTGCCTTCACTTTCGTTTTACCTTTAAAATGTACTCAGAATCTGAATACTTCTCACCACCCACATCCAAGACACTAGCATCTTTTTGCTTGGATTTTTACTAATTAATCGCTGCTTCTTTAGAGATTATTCTCAAAATGGAGCTATAATGACACTTTTTATTCATAAGGAAAATAATGCTTTTCATCTCCAACAAAATTGTTTCTTTCTGTTACAAGTTCTCTTTTAATTATTTTTGTATTGGTTCTATTACTTAATCATACCAATGAAATAAGTATAATTTTTATTTTCATTTTACAGAATAGGTCACAGAGGAATAGATAGCTTAAATAGCCTCCTAAAACTCATACAGTAATTTGGAGATCCAAAATTCAAACCCAGGCAAATCACTTCCATTGCCCACACACTTAAAATTTACTTAACAATGTGATAACTACATGGTTTGGTATCACTGAGTACCTTACAGAGGTGACCTAGGATTCTAGACTTTATTGAAAGTACATGGAACGGCACAGAATCAAGCTATGTGCACTGGATTGAAATCAAGAATATTGCCAAATATTTTTGTCTTTAATGTTGCAGGGAGGTCCACTTTTTCTGCAGCAATGAGACAAATTTCAAATTAGTGTTCTCCTTTCCAAGTATTCATTCTGCTTATATTAGGCCATTCTCTTCTTGACATATATAAATGCCATCACCCTAAGCAAATGCCTTTTTCACATGACTTGCCCAACCTAACTCTTAAGTGATATGCATCACAGGCCAGCAGAGCTTATCTGACAAATACAGTTTGGTTATATGCATATGTCCCCATTCACTCCTTCCTCCTATCTTTGTTGCTCCATCATCTCCCTCCTTTTAACATAGCATAGCAACTCAACAAAATTTCCATCTACTAACTCATGGGGTTCTTTCATTTCTGCTCCACCATGCTTACAACTCCTAATATTTTCTAGGCAAACAAGGGACAACACCAAATACTTTACTGCATAATGAAACCCTCATGACTATCCATAACTATTTTTGTAGACTTTATTCTAATCAAAACATAATGATTACTCTTCCCCATATAAAAGTCAAGTTCCCTGCTGTTGTGATTTTTGTGTGCTATTTTCTTCATCTGGAATGCACTTTCTTTGAATTTCTCCTCATTTCATCTCTTCACACCAAATCCTATCTAACTGTCTGTGTCTAGCTTAAACACTATTTTCTTTCTGAAATTGTTCACATCTGGCTTACTGTGAATTAACCTATTCCTCTTCTGAAATTTCAAGTCCCTGTTGCTATATCTCTCTTTTGACTCTGATCACTTTCTACCCAGTATTATTGTGAACTGTGTACATCCCTCATACTGCACAGGGACCTCTTTGAGATGGCATTTTTTGTATAAGCAAATGAACAATCACACAGATGAATAAATGAACAAAAGTAATTTGCATACATGTGAACAAAAGAAAAATGAATTGAATGTACAAAGGCTATATTTAATCAATGTTCAACCATATGATATCTACGTATGATTTATCTAGAGTTAATATTTACTGATGAATCTTTTATTTCTTTTTTCCCAATTTGTGCATCATCACGGAGCATAAGTTTTCTTTCTTTCTTTTTTAATTAAAGCATCACCATTCTTGATTCTTTTTGAACTAATATGTATATTAATATATACATATATATATATATATACTATGTGGCCATCATTATAGCAATTTGGATTCTTAGAATAAATTCAGTTAGCTTATATTTTAATTGGCAACTTAATAGAATCACAGTCTGAGGTAGCCTGATGCTTTGTAAAAGACTGCATTATAATTTTATTATCACTATTAGCAGCCAAAGTACTTTCCACCTTTTGCTGCAAAGCACTTATTAAAATTAACCAATTAATCCTTAGACAGAGGTTAAATAACATGCTCAAGGTCCCGAAGTAGTAATATTATACTCAGAATTGGACCCCAGGAGTTGTTGATCAAGATGTCAACAAACATTTTTTAGATATTGTCTTTTGGCAGCATAATAAGTCTGTGGACAGTGTCATTAAAATGATAAATCCAACAGCTGACAAATGCGTAATAACTTTAGTATCTATTAGATGGGAGTCGGCAAGGTTCAGTAGGTATGGTGTTCTGTCAAATCTGTATCTTGCATATACAAAAATCTTCCCTCTCTAAATGAAGGAATGACAGAATGGTTGAATATAGTGTCTAATTAAAGGTTCCTTAGTGGGAGGTAAAACATCAGTTCTTAGTTGTGCTGAGTAAAAACATTTCACAACTCGAATGGCAATATAAAATCTTGAAGTCTGAAATGCAAATTCATTTTAACAGCAGTGGCCCAGGGAGAAGAGACAAGAGATAAATAATGGCACAAATAAAATTAGGCATTCCTTAAGTAAGTTGTTGAATAACAAATATAGCTCCATTACACGCTATTCTGGAGCTAGGATTCCTAGTATAAATCAAAGAAATAAATAAGCACGTCACCCAGGTGTTAAGTATAAGGTCAAGAACATGTGAGATTATTTCTAATTAAATGTTAATAATATTAGGGCAAAAGGGCCAATGAGGACCAACTCAACATGTTTCAAAGAACCAGGTATTCAAATTAAATAGTGGCCTGCTTGTCCTTTCACTGGTATTTTCAAAGTCCTCTGCTTGGGGACCCATTATAATTTCAATTAGAACTCAGCTTATTAGAAGTAAACCTGTTATGGCTTATTCCCACTGCTTCCAATAAGTACAGACATTAAGTAGTGTCTCAAGTTTATAGAGGTAGGAGTTCCTGTCAGTAATCCAAAGATAACACGTATTCTAATGAGTTCTAGAACCATAGTCTATCAAGTAACTAATGAAACAGTTATGAACTATAGATGTGAGCCTACCATATACGACAACATGATGGAATTATGTTTACCATTTGTCTTCTAGAGAAGCCTTATTCATTCACTCAGTCAGTCAGCGAACATGTGTTGGTGTCTTCGATGGAGCCCATCACTATGTTAGGCATTGAGAATACAGTGGTGTCAGGAGCATTTCCTGCCCTCAAAGAACTTACAGTGTGATTCAGAGAAAGAAAGAAGTTATTACAAAGCAGTGCAATGAAACACAGAGACTATCAGAACTCACAGAAAATACAGAGGTCAGCTTATGGGGAGAGGAAAGATTTCCTGAAGGAAGTGGAATCTAAAGTGAGACAAGATGAAAGAGAAGAAGCTAAGTAAGTGAAGAGAGGAAGCATAAGAGAAATAGCATATGCGAAGGCCCAGAAGGGAAAGGCTTTTGAAATTTACATTTTATGTTTCTATTTGATTTTCCTGGGGGCAGGCTGGCAAGAAAATTAACATTCATTGAATATGTACGATGAACTAGTGACAGAGATGCGTGTTATGACACATTATTTTATCTAATATAATAATACATGGTATTTCATCAAATGCTCACACCACCCTGTCAGTATTAGAAGGACTTCAATAATCATCAGGAAAATAGAATAGAATTTTTTCACCTGTTCATGTGAGTATGAAGTTCAACTAGAAATGAGTCTAGAAGACCAAGAAAGGATTGTGATTTGGAAGATGAAATTACCAACCAGGACTAACCATTTCCTAAGTATTCAAA